TTTCTGGGATTACCATTTCATTATTGCTTACTACAGCTAGCACAGTGGAGACCCTGGCAACAAAAGTAGCTACCATAGTTAGTTAATCTTCCATTCTATTGGGCATGATAAATTTAATTCAGTAGTTATATACATCTCAGATTGGCTTTGAAAATTATAAATTTATAAACTCAAGTTCCAGTTGCTTTTGGATTACTATCCTACAAGGACTCCAACATACAGTACGGCTCATTAAGGAAGGGAATGGCTCAGTTGCCTTTAGCCTCCTGGCTATGGGTGGGTTAGGACTTCTGTTGGTCTTTTCTGTGTCAAACACACAGACTGCAAGCCCAGTGCCACGTTGTGATCTTTGGCAGCAGTTAACTCTGCAGCTCACACACGATTGAGCCTGTATGATAATGAGTATTCAGAGATGGGTAATGCCTGGGGGGCACTCACCAACCTAAGACAGAACACCTGTGTGGCCTGGGCAAGTGTCTCCATGACAGGTAAGGTGACCTGCTGACGTCCCATGCAACCCAAGTCAGAAGCTCATTTTTTAATAAAAGGGGGACCTGCAGGTCCCTGGCCCCCGTTTTGGGTAACTGTTGTCTTGCTTATGGACCTTGACCTGGATATCCTCCCAATGCTAATTCCCTGCCAGGTTCCACCCTCCTGAATGCTTAAGGGATATTCCTTGTCTGTGTATCCTGAATGGGCGTTAACAGCTTAGATGCAAGATTGTAAAACATCAGTAGCAAACTTCTCCCCTCCAGGGCCCTCCCATTGTGCTGTAAGCCTGTATTTAACCTCCTACCCCCTTCAAGAAATGACATTCGACTTTTAAAATTAAAATATATAATTGAATGAATACTGCGAATGTACTCTATGAATACCACAAATGTGATTAATATCTTGAGTGTAATTAATGAATATCATGAGCGTAATTTAAAAAATAAAAATTAAAAAAAAAAGATGTGGGTACAGGTAATAAAGCCACATGCCTGGCTATTAGGTAGTCTGTTCTGACAATAGACAGAACCGCCTACAGACAGCCGTGTTGATAGAAACACACAGAGTCAAAAAGCTACCACAGGCTGTCGAGTGGGTGACTGGGCATCAGTCACTTCCTCCTCTAATTAAGGCCATGGTACCTTGATATCGTGAGACTTTGATATCACCAACAAAACAGAACCTACATGAGGTGCCTGCGACACCCCAGCACAGAGGAGATGCTCTCTAAAGACAAGAGAGCATCCCTGCATATCCACTAAAGGAATAAGATAACAAAACACATCGGTCCTCAAGGCCCTACCAGGGTCTTAGATTCTCTTAGTGAGACTAATCCAGCCAGTGGTGCATTATTTACCACGGTGAGCCAGGGGATTAGAATTCTGTAGGGTAGTAATTCGTCAGAGGATTCCGTCCAGGTCTCCAAGCCTGGTTGCTTCTGCTGCCCCAGAAACACTGGAGCAGACTGCCACATTAGTGACCCCGGGTGCCAACCAGGACAGTGAATGAAAGAGGCAACACCAACCCCGACTCTGACTCAATTTCTCCCTAAAAGCTTTTTCAAACATGCTGTTAAGGGGCCACCAAGTAAAATGGGATTGACTAAATTCGAATCCCTGGCTCCACATGCTGGTAGAGAAGAACCAAATCCTGCAAGCTGTTCTCTGACCTCCACATGCACCTCGTGGTACCTGTGTACACTCACACACAAGATAGATAAAAGGTAACTTTAAAAACTCCATTAGTAAAAGAAATAACAAGTGCTTTTTGTGAGCTGGAAAACTCAGGGTAATCCGTCATCCTCTCACATTGCCACTATGAACTCTTGGTGTTCCCCAACTTCACATCTTTACCTACACCTGTCCTCTGTATAAAGCTGTTCACTGTAGCATGTGAAAATGTACTTGTCACTTTGGATTTTAACATCCCCATCCCCAACCCTCAGAAGCTAAAGCTTGTGGTTCTAGACTGCATACAGTTGAAACAACACCACACACTCAATCTACCTCCTAAGAGCCCCCAGGAGAAAGCAGGAATCAGGAGCCACCTCTGGAAAATGTCTTGCACCCATAAATTCTGGAATTGTTGCTGGCGCACAGGCCTTCCCTTGGGGTTTGATGGCAATCATGTTATATGCTGGTTGCTTTATCTCTGGCTCCAGGCTCTGCATTCCCTCCTGCAGGGCAGTGGATGGAAAGGACCCAAAAGTCCCCTGTGAAGTAGTAGTGAGGAGGCATTCACCAAACCCAAAGGTCATGTGGTGGCCCATCCAAAATGCAGCTGACTGAAAAACCCAGGGGACAGGCCACACTTATCAGAGTGTGCTCTGACCACCAAAGTAGGCATTACCACCACTGAGGAACCACAGAACACCACCCAGGAGAAAAAGACCAAGCAGGGCCTACAGGAGGTATGAAAAAAATTAAAAAATAGGAAACTATTTTAAATGGGTTATCTTTGATTTAAAAAAAAAAAAAAAAGCTTGCAAAGCATAGAAACCTATTTGAGAGTGATATTTAAAGTTCTTTGGGGGGGGGGATGGGGTTTTAGATTTGGGGTATTTTGAGAACAAATCCTGCTATGCAGCTCAGGCTAGCCTCAAACTAAAGATATTCCTGCTCCAGTCTTCTGGGTACTAAGGTGACCAGAGCAAACCACATACTCAGCCTGACAGTGACCTTTTTGTTGAATAAAATAAATCACACTTGGGCCAGAGAGGTTACTCAGCGGCATGCTGACTTACTTATGCGCAAAGCCCTGACTTCCATCCGAAGCACAGCACTGCTGAGCTGTGGTGGTGCACTCCTCCATCCCCTACAGCCTCAACACCTGGGAGGCGGCAGCAGAAGAACCACAAGTTCAAGGTCATCTTTGGCTGCACACTAAATTGAGAAGCAGCCTGCTGCACATGAGACCCTGTCACCCTCCCTTTCCACTCCCCCTTCTCTCTCTCTGGATACAGAGATGCAGATATACAGATATACTCATGTATCTTGGACCAAGCATGAAGCCAATCCTAAAAATATCTCCTTCACATCGTCTCTAAAACTAGCTGGATGTCAGAGATTTTTCAACAGGCATACACTTTTCTTCACCATTACTTCAGCAAAGGCCATGTTCACATTTCTCTGTGAGCCACTTGGATAAGTCAGGGGGAAGGGTATTCCCTGCTCCGAGATACACGGCTTCGCCTGAGACACCCTGGGAGCAGCGGCTGTCTTCTCACAGTCCTCACCACTTCTGACTCTGTCACTCGACGCTCATTGCATTTGGGCAATGGGCAAGACAATGTTAGGAGAAAATTGTTTTCTTTTCATAGTGAACTTCTTTCTCCTGAGTGGGTAGAAAATAAAGTTAGTTTGCCTAGAATGTGAACTTTTAAATACATGATGTGTTGATCTCGTCTTTCAAGAGAGCCAATGTGAGGATGAATACGCGTATCTGAAAATTCTCTTAGCCATCTGCTGTTCTGCATATGCTGTTATATATTATATATAATACAAATATTTTATTTATATATATATTAGATATGGTCTCATGCTGCAGCCAAGGCTGTCCTAGAACTCACTCGTCGTCCTGTTCCAGCCTCCCAATGCTGTAATCACAGGCATGTGTTACCACAACCAGATGTGCACATCCATTTAGCAGCGTTTTTGTATACAGATTAAACATCTCTAATCCGAAATCTAAAAACTAAATCAGAAAGTTTTCGAGTGCTAATATGAACCTGAAACTGAGTAGCCTCACGTGATGGATGAAAGTCAAAATGCAGACACACTAAAAATATGGTTTATAATTAGTTTCATAGAGTGTCTATGAAGCCAAATGTATTTCACATTTAATCTGACATTTTATGTATATGCAATTCCTAAAGAAATCCGAAATCCTCCCTTGGATGGGTTTTTTTTCCTTTCTTTCTTCTTTCTTTCTTTCTTTCTCCCTTTCTTTCTTTCTTTCTTTCTTTTCTTTTCTTTTCTTTTCTTTTTTTATCAACTTGACACAAGCTAACTTTATCTGGGAAGAGAAACCTCAATTGAGAAAATATCTCCATCAAGACTGCTTTTAGGCAAGTCTGTAGGGCATTTTCTTTATTTAATGATTGACAGAGGGGTGGGTGCCACCTGTGGGCAGGTAGTCTTGAGTTGTATAAGAAAGCAGGCTGAGCAAGCCATGGGGAGCAAGCCAGTAAGCAGCACCCTCCGTGGCCTCTGCATCAGCTCCTGCCTCCAGGTTCCTGCCTTGAGTTCCTGTCCTGACTTCCTGCAGCGATGAGTGTGACCTGCTGAGAGCTGTAAGCTAAAATACACACACCTGCCCCCCTCAAGTTTCTTTCTTTCTTCCTTCCTTTCTTTTTATTTCTTTCTTTCTTTAGTCACAGTAATAGAAAACAAATTGCAACAAATCCCAAACCCTTCTGATGGTAACTGTGTTAGATAAGGGATACTCTAGCTGTTCTAAAACACAAACCAAAGTGAGCAAAGGTGGAAGTTTTCACCCTGGGTAGTAAAAGGCAGCACATATGAATTCTACAAATACCCACATAGATAAAAATTAATTTACTATTCTCTTACTTCCTCAAGAACATTTTCTCCAAGAAAGTAACTTCTCACTATATACAATGTCTTAGTTGAATTCTTCTGTTGCTGTGATTAAAATATCCCAACAAAACAACACAAGATAAGAAGGTTTGCTCCAGCTCATAGTTCCAGGGCACAGTCTATCATAGCGAGGAAATCAAGTCAGTAAGGCTCTTGGGGCACCTGCTCCCGTCACATTCACAAACAGGAAGAAGACTCAGTGAACGCATGCTCGGCTCACTGTCTTTCATGCAGGACTCCAGCCCACAGAATAGTGTCACCCACAGTGGGTCTTCCCACTTCAACTAACGCAATCACTGTAACCCCCCACAGACATGCCCAGATATCCATATTACAGGTGACGCCAGAACCCTCGGGCTGGCAGTTAAGATTCACCATCACATGACTCTTACCCCAAATCTAAAAACTTACCTTTTGGCTTCAGGTTTCAGTGGGCAGCTGCTGGCTGCATGGGCTCAGTGAGGACCTCTCGGGCAGCCATCTTGGGGGCACGCAGGAACAGAACAGGGGGAAGTCAGGGCCTCTGGTGACAATTATGGAAACCTATAGAAGATCCTGGGTGGCAGAAAGAAAGCACAGTGGTTGAAACAGCCCAGCAGCATCAGTGTGCGTCTCAGTTCTCAAGGAGTTCTAATCTCTCAGTGTTTCAAGAGTTTTTGCCTGAGTTTCAGGTAGAATCTTTTTCTCTGAATTACCATAACTCTTACTATTAATATTACTCCAAATATGACTGCTCTGTAGTATTGGTAGTTATGCCCCATATTTTCTGATAGAGCTTAGCCTTTCTTTAAAATGAAAACTCTTGAGTCTGGGGGTGATGGTGTAGTCCTCTAATCCCTGCACTAAGGAGGCAGAGGCAGCTGGATCTCTGTGAGTTCCAAGGACTACATGGTGAGACCCTGTCTAAAAAATGCATTTAATTAAAACTCTTTCTTCCTCCCCTTATTCCTCCATCCCTTCTTCCCTCCCCTTCCCCTCTCTCTTTGAGACAGTCTCATCTAATTAAAACTGTCTGAAACTCCTGCCTCTCCTTGCTGCTTCTTCTTCTTAAATTCTGAGAGAACAGGTACACACTATCATGAATGACTTACAGCTTTCAATCTAAAACTCCCACACCCCTCCAAGCAGAGCCTAGGAACAAGATGGCCAGCTGGAAGTCAGCCTGGAGGGGAGCACTGCTGCCCTGAGCTCCAGCGGGCCTTCGGTACACTCTCCTCCTGTTTGTATTTCTGTACCGCCATCCCTGGCCTCAGTTACAGTGACCCTTTCCCTCCAACAGTGACACACACATCCTTTTCTAGTGCCCAGCTCTGAAATGGCAGGAGCCCAAATCGTATTTTGGTTTTGTTTTCAGTCATACCTCCTTCTCTTTACAAAGCACACAGTCTACCCCTTCCCAGATGACGGTCTCTTTGTGGGGTCCTGCATCAGCTCCTGGCTACTCCACGCTCCCTAGCACAGAAGTCCCCCTACAGAGTCTAGCCCACGGTGCCTGCTTCCTTACTTTGCTTGCCTCTTTTCTCAGGAACTTGGCTCATCGTGTAGGACCCCAAGCCTAGGCCACCAGTTACAACTGTCAATATCTGAATCCCAACTGCCAAGGCCTTTCCCATGGTGCTCTTGGGCACCAAGCCAATCAGAAAGAGCTACATGAGGTCAGCGTCCCTGTGTGTTCTGTGATACTTAGATGTAGTTGGAGGAGAGGTTTCCTGGTTGGAGCACAGAGAGGGGAGAGGGGCTACCTAATAAATGAGCCAGTTCAATTCTGGTGATGACAGAATCTAGAGTTTCTGACCAATACATGACCAAAATCCTGGAAAATTTAGATACGGGCTTTTTAGTGGTGGTGTGGGGGTGAAATAGAGCGCACCACTTGGCAGAAGACATTTTTAATAAAGAGGTTTGGTTGCACACTGGAGAGCTCTGCTGAAAGGTACTGAGGGACTCCCATTGGTGTCTGCACTCTTGCTTAGGCTGGCCTCAGGGGACAGCATCCATCCTGAACAATTTATGCACATTCCCGGTCGTCCCCACCTCACAAGCTGCTAAAAGTTTTAACAATCACCAGACTCTCTTGTTATTGTTGGGTAACCCTCCCTGGGTGTCTGTAATAAAGCTGCACATGAAACAGGAGTCTGTATTGTTCTGTTGGCTCTTTTGAGATTCTCGGTATCTCATTTGAGGGAGCCTTTGTTCCCTCAAGGTAAAAAAACAAAACCCAGAAACCCACATATTACAGGCCTTTCTACTGAGCTGTCACAATACCAGCAGTGTGAGAGTCGCTATGCGTGGGAGATGATGTTTACAAGGATCACTTCCCTTTAAAATGGGGTGCTTAATTACTGTTTTAGGGGGCAGTTAATGAGTGGAACGTGTAGAAGATTAAACACATTTGGCTTGGGAGGACCGGTGGGGTGAAAGCAAGCCGCCATCCTTCGTATGTGAAGAGGGAGGCTGAGTACTATGTGTGTCTCGGGAATCTCTTCTTAACCCCACCCATCATGGGCTTAACAATGGCTGGCAATGCCCATGAAGCCACCCAGCCCTGAAAGCCATTCCCAGAGGACATGCCAGTCACTATGCATCAGGGTGGATTCAGCACCCCACCACTGAGAACAATGGAGACGGTGCTGGCATTGGCATGGGAAGCCCTGAAAGCAGAATCCACCAGTCCTCATCCTGACACCAGGAAAGAGACAGGCACTCTCGCAGCCCTCAGGGAGTCCACCCTAGGGCAAAGCTGGGAAGCCAAAGGGATGTATCAGAGCACACGTGTGAACAAAGGATTATGGGAACCTGGAGCCGGAGATGATGAAAGGCTGCAGAGAAGAAGGGGTATTTGAGTCGGGCTTTGAAGGAGGAAGAGGAGTTTTACAGATAGACACAGGGCAGCTGCTGTGGAGGAAATACAAACAAAACATCCAAGGGAACAGTGGAGCCAAATCCACAAAGCAGTTTCAACTTGCCGTGTGCCATGGCAGCCCTGGCCATGCTTTCAGGTACAATGTGAGTCACGGGAAGAATGAACAGAAAGCACGCTCTTCCCTCCTGCTTCAACTTGAAAATCGAGTTTGTACTGCACAAAAATTGCCTGACACCCCACGTCAAGCCCAAAGCTTCTACTAAAAAAGGTAGGCAGTAACTCAACTGAAATCTGAAAGATAAAGTCGATGGGAGAAATGCAAAGCTGGGGTGCGTTTCCCATTCCAAACTGACGCCAGCCAGCTTCCCTCAGGCCCTGCAGTATTGTGCATTAGGGCTACATGGATATATTAGATGTGGCTTCTCCACCTAGAAGTCCACTGGCAAGGACTGAAAGTGCACTGGCTGAGACTGGGGATGCAGCTCTGTGGGTAAAATGCTGGCTGCACAGAATGAGGGCCTGGGTTCAGACCCCAGCATCCATATCAATGGTGGGCAGAGGAGGCTTGCCTGGAATCCCAGCACATGGAAGGCAGAGGGAGGGATGATGATCTAGACCAGTCCAGGAGGCAAATTCTGGGTTAAAGTGAGAAGCCTTTCCTCACTGGATGAAGGAGAGAGAAATCGAAGGACACATCGGACATTGACCTTTGACCTCCACACAAATGTGTGCTCAGACACAAGCAAACATCATACACATGTGAGTGCACACCATATACGTGTGCACACAGGAAGGAAGCGTGCTGAGAAGAAAGCCATGCTTTGCCTTGGGGGTCCCAGAAGCCTGGAACTGGGTGGGAACACAGGTCTCATGAATCTGTGGAAATAAGCAAGCATGTCCTCTACTTATCCTTCGAGTCCTGGCTTCGCCATGCAGTTCCTGCATACCCTTCCACACTCGAGTGTGCAGAGCATGCCACTACACCAGAAAGTGGGTCCTCCTGGCATTATTTTCGTAGTGATGTTGGTCACTTTCTGATGTTTCAGATGAAAGCCAGATTACTTAAACGGCTACATCACTTCAGCACTGTCCCTCAAAGACGTCTTGTTACTTCCTTTTGGCACACACACACACACACACACACACACACACACACACACACACAAACACAGAGGCATACACACACACAGAGACATACACACAGACACACATATACACACAGACACAGATACACACAGACACACACAGACACACACACAAACTTTTGCTCTGCAATAGTGAACAAAACTTTTCATGAAAAGTTTTAGCTTTATCATGTAATTACTTTGGAAACACTTAAATCCAGACATTAAAAACAGACTTTTATTGAAGCAGATTTAAAAGGACTAAAAATTAGCTTTTCAAAAACTGCTGGAATAACTTCTGTATGAGGCGAGAGAATATAAAATTACAGAGCACAACATGGTAGTACATTCCTTTAATCCCACCACCTGGGAGGCAGAGAGAGGCCTGTTGTAGCTGGAGTTTTCTCCAGTCCTGCCTGGCCCATGGTCAGGACAAATCTCTCTCACCCACCAGTCCCACAGCTGCTCAGACCCAACCAAGAAAACACACAGAGACTTATATTACTTATAAACTGTATGGCTGTGACAGGCTTCTTGCTAACTGTTCTTATATCTTAAATCAACCCATTTCTATTCATCTATAAGTTGCCATGTGTCTCATGGCTTACTGGTACCTTACATCTCGCTTTTCATGGTGCCAGCTGGCAGCTTCTCTCTGACTCAGCCTTCCACTTCCCAGAATTCTCCTCTCTCCTTGTCCCACCTATACTTCCTGCTTGGCTACTGACCAATCAGTGTTTTATTTATTAGCCAATCAGAGCAACACATTTAGCATACAGAGCATGCCACAGCAGCCCATATCTGAGTTATAGGCAGCAGCTGTGAACTGTCACAGATCCTCTTCAAGAGCAGGCTGTAGCATGAATCTTCAAAATTCTTATTAATAAAATCAAACCTGAGCCAGGTATTGGGGTGAACACTGGAATGTCAGAGAGACAGAACAAGCCACAGCTAACCTCACCTGGCCAACTTCTCAGCTGGTCTTATTTCCTCAGACTGGAAGCCTCTGTGTCCTCATATCCCAATGGCTCTCAGCTGAACTGCGCTGCTCAAAACCTAAAAGCTTAACCAGCCAAATGCTTAACCAGCCACATACTTCTAGTTTCTGGTCCTCACGCCTTATATACCTTTCTGCTTTCTACCATCACTTCCTGGGATTAAAGGCTGGCTTTCTAGGATTGAAGGCATGAATCACCATGCTTGGCTGTATCCTTGAACAGATGGATTTCTGCCTCTGGAATGCTAGGATTAAAGGCATGTGCTACCACTGCCTATCTATCTTAAGTATCTAGTGGCTTTTCTGTTCTCTGACCCCAGATAAGTTTATTAGGGTACACAATATTTCGGGGAACACAATACCACCACAGCAGTCAGTGTTTTTAACCACTGAGTCATCTCTCCAGTCCCAGATTATTGCCTTGTTGTGTGTTTGTGTATTGCCTTGTTGTACACACACACACACACACACACACACACACGCTCTGGATGATCAGTGAACCCCAGAGATCTGCCTGGATCTACCTTCTCAGTGTTGGGATCATAAACCTGTGTCTCTACTTCCTGCTTTCCACATGGGTTCTGGGGCATAGAACTTGGGTCCTCGTGTTTGCAAGGCTGAGGTATCCCTCCATTTTTGCCTCTAAGACCCTCCACCTCCTGTCCCTGTGTTCTCTTCCCTCTGTGCCTTTGACTGCCTGTCACTCGGTTGGGCTACCCATCCTCATAGGCTCCTGTGTTGGGATCAGTTCAGCTGATATTTGAACTCTCATTCCCTCATCTGCAAAGGGTAGATGACCCTGGGACAAGCTCACCAGAGTTTATCAAGGACTAAATATGACTTTCCTCCTAGACAGTGCAGCCTATCTGCAGGTGACCTGGACAAACCTTACTATTTTAATGTCTGCCTCCCTCTTATGTGTCTGCATTTCAACCTTGTCCCTGAGTCACCCTTTTCATTTTCTCCTCCTTCTCTTCCTCCTCCTCCTCCTTGTCTCCCCTGTCATTCTTCTTAGCATAGCTCCTTCCAGGAAGTTGGGTAGGCACCTGGTCCCCAGCACTAGCCTCCTCCCCACTCCTCCTATAATAGGGCCATTCCGAGTAGCATTCAACTGTAAGACGACCTAGTGGCCACGCCCTCGCTGTGGTGCCCAGCCACCTGCCCTGGAGCCCTGCTGTGCCAAGCTCTACTGCAGGCAAGTTACTCCAAGCGCTGGTGTCCTGCCTCCTGGGACCATCTAGCAAAGTCTCTTCAGATAATTCTGAACCCCAACCCCAGGTCCCCTGGGCCTGGCAGCTGTGGTACAGGTGTCCAGCCCAGAACCTTCATGTGTGCGGAACTCCCATCCCAGAGTGAGCTGGGCCCGGCAGCTGGGCCATTTTGTGTATTCTTTGTGTATTCTAACTAAACCTTGGAATGGAGAGACAGTCAGTGTCTGGCAAAATAATTCTTTTAAGTCAAAAACCATTAGCCCTTATGGCCAGCATGGCCTAACATCTCAAACTGCCAACTTCTGAATTATAATCATGTTTATAGCAGAAGATCGGAGCCTTTCATTGCTACAGAGCTGTGTTGTGACCACTGAAACCAAGATCAGCTAAAACGTGTTTCATCTGAAAAGGCCTGGCCTGGA